GTCCTAAAAATAAAAATGTTATTATATATATATATATGTAATACAAAAATTAAATACTTTTGCATTAATGAAAGCATTAAAACTTCATTCCTTTTCATAAAATATCTTTGGTAAAGGATAAGGGTAGAAATTCTATTTTGGGACTTTAAGGCTTAAACATGCCAATGAATAATAATTAGATTTATATTTCAAAAGAGAAGTTATTTTAAGATCTTTCACTTCCATATAAGGAAAGATTAAACAATTTTCTATGAGTAATAAATAAATTTGATGAGGCGTAAGAATACAGAAAAGGCAATATGGCTGGCCTTTTTACACTTTTTAATTATCGTATAAAACGCAGAGCAATGATTTTTGCGTGGCTTTTTGTTGTTTATAATGCCTAACGAAACTACGTCTATTTAGACAGGATATGTGTCTCCCCTCTCCAGCTTGGAGAGGGGTGAAAATACTATTTCACCATCGTTTATTTAAATAAAAGATTATGCCGAAACTGGACTCGTTAATCATGCTGCTTTGACTCTTAATTAACAAAAAAATATCGGTGTGGCTCCACCGTTATTTCATATATATATATATATATATTTTTCTGTGCATGGACCCGCGATGTTTTATTGTTGACAAGGAATTTAAAGATGCATATTAAGGATGGTCTTTAGAGAACATGCTGCATAAGTATTCATTTTGAATAGCTCAATTCTTTAATTCTTTTATTCTAATCTTGCTGCTTTTTAGCAGAGTTTTTTAAAATAGCATGACTTTTCTTTCGTTAAAAGTATTTTGTAATTTTGGTGGATATAACATCGTCATAATTATATTTGACCATCATTGTAATTTTATTTCAGTGAAAACTTCTTTATGACTTTTCAAAATCAGAATCAAATTAATATGCTTCAATTTTATCTAAATGAAACTTCAAATCGCTATAATTAGTTTAAGTTTAAGCACACTATTCTATTCGTTTTTAATTGAAAATTTCCCCATTCGTTTAGTTTAATCTTTTAAATCTTTCAGAATGAAATGGAGTAATTGAATTATTATTTTCAATCACTCTAATTCATTTTAAAACAAGTCTATGAGGTCTTTTAATTAAGTTAGCTGTCCATTGAAACTATTACAACTAACTAAAGACGCACTTTGAATAAATTTACAAGAATCGTTTCTGGAATTTAGCAGATAATTACTCTTGCAAATTATACGAGATTGAGTTCAGTGGCATATTTTACGAAAACATTCTGGTCTTTTGTATTGGTTAAGCATTATACAAAATTTCTATTTAAGGGAAATTGTAAGCATAATTTACAGTATACTAAACGACACACATGACACTTTAAATAAACGTTAAATATGATTTGAATAATTCAGCCACAATTAATAAAATAATGTACAAAGTTCATAATGCTAGATAAATATATTACAAAATGGTCACGTATATTATTTCCTGAGTTTTAACGTTTTAATTTTACGATCAGTGTAGAAAATGTACATAAATTATTGTTATTAATTGTTATTTAGTTCTCTTCAATATTTGTTGTAATTAAAACATAGTTAATTAAGTTCTTAGACGCGGAAATTTCATTGAACTTATTTTTTATAATTTAGGCTGAAATAAATGAAAAATATTATGTTTAGCATTTCAATAATTTATGGTTAGACAGTATGATATATCGGTTTTTTTCTCTGCGTTAAAGGTAAAAGCTTCCAAACACGGTTTATTTAAAAAATATATTTTATCTAATAAAAGTTTTCAAAATTTGCACTTTATTGCAGTTATTTAGATCTAAGGGAAATAGTTATTCATTATTGAAATTTCTTTAATTTACAAAATCAATTATTGATAAAGCATAGAATATGAATGCAAGAAAAATGATTCAATCTTTTTTATTCGGATTTTATATTTTAGTACAAATATTATTCCGACAATTGAACAGATTTTTTAAATAACTATTTAACTGTTTTTTTAATTAGATTTTTTAATTTTTTTTAATTAATTAGAAAATTTGTAATTAGAAAAATATTTTTAAAAATATATTACCTTGGAATTAGAGAGTCAGAAAAAAAAATGTAAACGAGACACCGGTGTCCCAGTTGCATCAAAGGATTGGGTACTTTTTATTTAGCTTATTATTTTGATTTTTTTTACTTATTATGCTTTTTCCCTATTTTTTAATTTTGTTTGAGGGAATCAAATGTAACAAAAATAAAAGAACAGACGGGTCAAATAAATAACTGCCTGACACAGTATTGATGTCAAAGCTTGGTGATTTTCGTTAAGCTACCAAACTAATATATATATAAATATAAATATTATTGCTGGTATTTCATTGTCTTTATTTTAGATTTTTTTTATTTCAGAAAAGAAAAAGAAGTAAGAAAAGAATGAGTTTCACAGAAGGACAAAGCATCTAGATATTGAAAAAAACATCCAATTTTATTGTATTCATTAAAGTATTTTATTTTAATAGAGTTTATGTTTCATTTGTCATTAAAAATGTCACACTTATTATTTTCAAAATTTTTATACAAAATTCTTTATGAATATGGAGTTAAAAAAATACATATTTTTTTGTAAATACTTTCTATTTTCAATAATGAATCAAATGTAATGCTGAAAATAAAATAGTTTACAGATAAATAAGAAAACAAGATCAAGATTAGTCTGTTGATCCATTTCAAAAGTAATTTTATTTTTACAATTGAAAGCAGCCATTTGTTTAGATATGGAATAATGATTTTTTTTTAAATTGATGCATTTTCAAAAGTCGTTTGCGAGAATATTTTTCACTAAAATAAAGCATAAGATTAGAGATAAATTCCTAATGTTTTTTACGCAATAAAAAGTAAATAATAATATTTTTTCTGCAAACCCTGCAATTTTTGCGAAAAATTTTGAATTGAATAGAACTTTTAATAAATTTTTTAATTTATTTAAATTTAAATGTTTTTAGAAATCTGTTGAAGTCTTGTTGGGTTGCTCAGTATTTAATGTTATAATTATTATGTCAAAATGTAATGTTATAATTCAAATAATTTCGTATGCATGAAATTTATTTTAAACAAAAAATTTATATATATTTTAAATAAATTTATCTTAAATCTATTTTTATAATTGATTCACATTGATTATTTTATTATTACAATATGCAACTTCTGGCTTTTTTTTAAAATTTCTACTGTATAATAAGATTCTATAGTAAATTAATGTTCACTAAAAAGCGAATCACACTTTGAAGCCACAACTGAGCAATTTTATCGAACAAGGAAAGTGTCACTTTCAAACCAAGCAGAATGTTTCTATATAGTTGGTCTGTTTTATTTATAAAATCTCTCTCTCTCTCTGTATATATACATGACTGTCTGTCTGTGCATCTTTTATAGACTCCTAAAACATCCAACCGAAAGTAATGAAATTTGGTAATTAGATAGTTTGAAGCACGAGGAAGGTCACTGTCGACATTAGAACATTCTATGATCCGTTCCAGCGGGATGAGCAAAAACGTAAAGGAATTTTCAGATTGGTTAAGCGATAGCCATTATCATCAGTGATATTTGTTTGCTCAGAGCCCTATTTGATCAAAACGCGTTTTTGCACGTACTTTAATAGTTAATTATTTTTTATTCACTGTGTCAGATAAATTCACTCATCAACGTTATGTGGTAGCATCGTTATCATTAAATTCATATTACCAAATTTGTCAGATACCACGTGTTTAACTTCTTTTCATAGTAATTCCTTTAAAACGTGTTTCTCTAAAAGTAATTAATTTAAATCTATGGTAGTTATAATGAAAAAAAATTAGTCCTGAATTTAAAGGCAAAATTAACGGGTAAGTAGTACCGATTCACTTGGGAGAAACGTAAAAAAAAATGCCATACTATAATTGACGCCAATCAATTCTTAACAAATTTAGGTAACATATGCACATTCATGTAATAAGCTATGTACTAAAAGGCAAAATTAAAGGAGTAAAGATTCGTTTAGAAGAACAGTAAAATATTGCAATACTATTATTGCCAACAATGATACTTAATGAAAGTTGATAATGTGTAGTAATTCAAATAAAAAATAACCTATCTAAAGGCAATGAAAATGGAGTTAATTGCTTAGTTACTTATTCAATGAAGGAATATTATTATTTACCATATTATTAGTGATATCAATGATTAATTAATATTGGTAATATGTATTAATTTAAATAAAAAAAAGCTACGTGCTAACAAGCAAGGTTTGCGGTTTAAGGTTAAAAATACCGTTGAACGCAGATTACGCATTAATTATTTTGATAATATGTACTACTTGTACTATGTCAATTGATTCAGTTTTAATAAGAATTATGCAATGGATTTTCCATAGTTACGAAAAATATTTTTCTAAATGTAGCAAAGATAGAGCGTTAATATTTTAGAATTAGCAGAACGTTTTCTACTACTACTTATATGTATTTCAACAGTAAATATGGGTAAGATAAATGATCATGCTCCAAAGTCCTAATCAAGGTCTTCGACTAATTCCATTTGTTTTTAAAATTTCGGGCTTAATATATTTTGAAAAAAGACTCAAATGGTGAAGGATTTTGCTATAAACACCAAATATACTAATATAAAGTATTATATCGATATATTTGGTGATTCTTAAAACTGCACCGATACTCAGCAGTTTTAATACCGATACAGTTGAAACCAGTGTCTTTCGCTCCCTTGATGGGGATATGAACTAGAGAAAATTACATGATGAGATACATTTTGACTATCCTAAGTTGGTCAATTTATTAGAAGGTGAGACTAATAATTTTTTGCTTTAATTTATTTACCACTTCCTAATTTGAAATAAAATTTTTGCAAGCATACTAAAAACTGTTATGGATTAGTTGTGTTAAGATTAAGGGGAAGGCAAAACCAGTTCTGTTACCTATATTGATACAACTTTTTTTTGTTATTTTATGATTCTTTAATTCTCGTAAAAAATTCAAGTATCTGATTCTTCTATCCAGCTCTTTAATTGTGTAGGTATTTGCCTTTCAGTTTTGTGTGTGATTTCGCAGTGTTGCTCAGTACTGATTTGTTTATTCTTTACTTTCATTCTATACTATTTCTTATCACATCCCGTGTGAAGAATAAACATTCAGATGGAATATTTTTTATCACATAAAGAATACTGTTTATCTCGCTTTGATTGCAAAAATATAAATTATAAAATAATATAAACGAAGAATATTTAAAAAAGTTCTGGATCAAATTACGGCGAAAAAGTACTGGCTTAAGTAAAAGTTCTTAATTACAGTTATTCAATGAGTTTAAGTGAAATATTATTGTAAAAGTTATCGGTATATCAGATTTTTGTTCCATAAAAGTTGGCGTTAAATATGAAATTTAGAATAAATTATCGGCCTTCAGAGTGTCGGTACTTTTTCCAGTAATTTGATACGAAATTCTTTACAGTGTATGGGTAAAAATGTTAAAAGAATTGACGAAATTTTTCCAAATTAACGAATACAGATTCGAATACATGAATTCTCGCTTGAGCTCTGCTATAAATTCTACTTTCACTAAAATATGATGCATACTTCAGCAAATAAATTGTTATCGTAAAAAATTCTTGTAAAATGTCGAGTTAAGTAGGAACATTAATAATATTTTACTAACAAAAACGAATTTTTAGTTTAATTTTTAAATTTAAGTTTTAGATTCAAATATATTGTAGGAAAATATTAAAGCTTTTGATTAAGTTTTTTTGGGATGAATAGAATTTTGCGAAATATTCATGGTAAAAATTGAAATTTTGTTATTGCTTGTCTTGATATGTGCTCCAAATTCAATAAAATAAAATATTTATTGTTTTTTTTTCGAGTCTAAACAAGGAAAAAACACTTGTAAAACAAAAAATAAAATATCCCAACTAGTGAATCTACCTGCCTTGTCAAATTTATAACAATAATAATCAAATATAATAATAAGTATAATAAGTCACGAAAGTCAATGCATTATGTTTCAAATTCTGAAACGTAATGCTTTTTTTTATTACTCTTAAGTTCGTATAGTCTTAATTAGCATTATTATTTTGCTTTTTTATAGCTGAATTGCAAGAAGCAGCAACTTGAAAAAAATTGTTTCTTCACATAAATCTTTGAGTTTTTTTTGTCTTTAATTGGTTTGCAGTGTAGAACGGTAATGTTAATTTTCTTTTTCTTTTGAAGATTTGTGAAGATTTTTGTGAAGATTTTGCTCTGTGAAAATAATTGCGTGTTTGCACTAATCATAAAACTTGTTTACGAAAGAATATTTAAAAGAAAAAATCAGTTTTAATGATTTTTACTTTTTTTTAACAATTTAACTTATACATAAGAGTTTCAGATTATAAGATATAATAATCAAATATCTATTCATCGGGGATTATTGCATGGATTTTATTTGAGCTTTGGAATTTATGATTTAAAATTATGTATTTTTAATGTGACGTAAGCCATTCTACTTAATGTTCTTGTCTTCAACATTTTAAGCAATGAGAAGTAATAATTATTATTAAATATAACCTTTACAAGAAATAATTTTTTGTTCAAATGTTTTGTATTTGAAAGCAATTTTTTTTTATCTACATAACTATTTCTAGAAATAAAACGCAGTTAATTAAGGGTTAAATGAGATATAATATTATCCTGGCGGGAAGTATAATAGCAGTAACTCGATGAACTTGAACTGGTTTTCAAATATTAAAATTAGATTGAATTGTTGTAAGTCTCATAAATTGAGATGCGGGATATGATCATTAGATATGGATATGATATGAGCTTTGTTTGTTGTTTAGGGTCACAAAATACAGCTAGATTTGGTTTGTATACTAATTAATGATATGGTAAATTAATAATTTTGACAAATCCCTGCAGAGAAAGGCGGGAATACAAAACACCAAAAACTGTTTCATTGCCGATATAGAAAGGATTTAAAAGATAATTAATAAAAATAAGCAGGCTTTAATGTTCGATGCATATGCCCTTCTTAACTAAAAATTTTTATACTTCGACAGAGAGTTTTTTTCTTTGTAGCTTGAATTTTAAATTATGTACTGAGAAAAAAAAAAGTATTCTCAAAACTACCAGAATACGAGGTCTGTCTGAAAAGTATCAGACCTTTGGCCAGAAAAAATATTTCAAATATCTGATGGAGTTGGGACCCTAATCCCCTTCAAAGTAGGCCCCTTGTGCTTCCACACACTTAGCCCACCGATCCTTCGACTGGTGGAAACGCCTCTGGAAGTCTTCTTTTGGAATGGTGTTCAGCTCCGTCGTCGCGTTCCGCATTATCTCTTCTTTACTCTCAAAACGGGATCCTTTCAGCGGCGTCTTCAATTTTGGTAACAACCAGAAGTCGCAAGGAGCCAGGTCGGAAAAGTAGGGAGGTTGGCGAATGGTTGTAATTCCGTGTTTGGCTAAGAAAGTGTGGATCAATCGAGATGAATGTGCAGAGGCGTTGCATGATGCAAGTGCCAGTTGTTCGCCTTCCACAAGTCTGGTCTTTTGCGCCGAACTTCCTCACGGAGTCGCCGGAGAACATCTTGATAGTACTCCTTTGTCACTGTTTGTCCTTAATGTGCGTATTCGCGATGCACAATTCCACGGACATCAAAGAAAACAGTCAGCATCACCTTGATTTTGCTTCGCACCTGCTGCGCTTTCTTCGGCTTTGGAGAATCGGGATGCTTCCATTGCGACGACTGTCTTTTTGTTTCTAGGTCCTACCCGTACACACATGACTCATCTCCAGTTCTCACGGTATTCAGAAACCCAGGATCAGTGTTGGCGGTGTCCAGAAGGTCCTGTGCAACGTCAAAACGGAGGTCTTTTTGTTACAGGCACAACAACTTGGGTATGAATTTCGCAGCTACTCGGTTCATGTTCAAATCTTCAAGCAAAATTGCTTGTGCAGAATTTCTACTCACTCCAACCTCTTCTGCAATCTCCCACACTGTCAAATGACGATCTGCCATCACCAAATTTCGCAACCTCTCAACATTATCTGCACTCCGAGCTGTTTGGGGTCTGCCACAACGCTACTCACTCTCCGCTGATGTGCGGCCATCTTTGAATCGGATGAACCACTCCTTAATTTGTGTTACACCCATCGCTTCTTCTCCAAACACCTGCTGAATCTTTCGAATTGCTTGGCTTTGAGAATCACCAAGCTTTTGACAGAATTTGATGCAATATCTTTGCTCAATTTGTTTAGTCATCTTACGAGAAAACTAAATCCGACGAACACTACGAACAGCACCTTACTTGGCGACCACCAGCCAGCGACTGGCACAACCGAACGCGGTGAAAAAATTCAAGCATGTGTATTAAGGTTCCTCCTTCCACCGTGCACGATGGTGCCGCTTTAGAATAATTACTTAGCGCGGGAAAATTTAAGGTCGGATAGTTTTTAGACAGGCCTCGTATGGTAAAATTTGTGTTTATTTTTATTTCTTAGTGTGATCATTAAAGTATATTCTTTTTTCCCTTTTTTTTGGACAAGCATTCTAAAAATATAAACTAAAGTTGATCATTGCAAAATATGCTGTACTAAAAGGCAGGTTATTTGCTGTAAGAAACAGAGCTATATCCTTTTTTAAAAAGATCAAATATATGCAGAGAATTTTGTAAAAAAATTAAGCATTACTTACATTAAAACAATTATTAAAGCTTAACCAAATGAACAATTAACTTTAAAAATAAATATCCTTCTGGATCGTAGTTGTACTTCGTAAAAATTCCGGTAAAACTTGACACTTTTAACACTTTTTACTGTAAAATTCACCTTTATCGGAACTTGTTCATACTGACATACCATAATTTTTACAGAAATAATTATTGTAAAATCACTGAATTAATCGAATAAGATAAATATTACTGTAAAAATTAAAGCATTATATTTTAAGGTAAAAAAGGATTTTACGGATGAGGCATCCAAAGTGCTGGTACTGTATACTGAAATTTAAGCCAAAATTTTTTACAATGTAGATTTAAATACTGATACCTTAAAATTTCTTTTCTTTCTCACAAAATTACTAAAATTCAATTTTGTATTTGGAGTTTTCGGTAACTAATTAAATATTTAAGTAATATAAAATTGCTGTAATTTTGTATTTTATATAACTGAGTAACTTGACAAAGTTGAGTAATTTGCAATCATTATTTTATTTGTTAATATTTAATAAACACTATTAAAACTATATTCATAAAATAAAAAATATATAAAAAAAGCACATTAAAAATTTTAATTCTTCCCGATTGATTTTCATTTTCCTTGGCAAAATCTCAATAACAACATTTTTATTTTCGTTCAAATAAAAAATAATGAAAGAAGTAACAGTTTTGTCGAATTTTAATTTGATAAAATCCTCATGGTTCTATAAATGAGTCGGCGACGAAGCTTCTCCTAACCCAAAAGGAAGCCAAGAGACAGGAATTGATGAAAAAATAAATAAATACAAGCTTTTGCTTCTATGTAAAACAGGTTTAAAATCTTTGATATTCAATTAATTTTAATTCTTTTTCAAATTTTAAAACACAACATATGTTGAATTCGAGTGTAATAGCCTCATTTCATGTAATCGTCATTTAATTTATTCAAATTTTCTTTACAATATATTTTTGTAATATCGAATTTAAAAAAAAGGATGTTTCCGATGTATAATAAACGACAAATATTAGGCTTTAATACAAATCATTATTTAACATCGCTGCAATTTAAACATTTCTCCAACTACTCAAAATTACATTTCTTTTAAAATGAGAAAAAAGCATTCATGCAACTACCCGTTGTAGGCCAGGGGGTCATGGAGGATAAAGCTCTTCAATTTCATGACCAACGACTTGATTGTAACTATGTAGTCAGAAATGCGAACCCCAGCTCCTCACAATGACAGCCCAGTGCCTCAACCACTGAACCATCGGGTTCTTTAAAAATGTGTATTTCATTTGTAATATATATATATATATATATAAATAAAAAACAGCTACATCATAAAAAGTATGAAGATTTATGTGTCTCTAACTACTTGCTTTCAGTGATTTAAAAGTAGTTCGCTTTGAAATAGATTTATATTTGGAGGTCAATTATAAAAGTGTATATTCACTAAAATTAACTGTTTGTCAATGAAGCGAAATCAAAGTGAAAACAAAATGACCTCGATTGAAAATCGTTATCAATAAAAATTATTCCGCTTTTGCTTGAAGTACGAAAATAAATTAAGAATGTGTCAAACTGATTAGATCTATCCTTGCACCTATAAAAACTCTTTTATATGTCAAGTCTTTAGAATCAGTTTTTTAACAATGATGAGAATTTTACTAGATTCTTGTTTGTTATTAGTTTTCTGGCATGCGTATGGTGAGTTGTTCAAAATAATTTTTTTACTGAATAGTTTTGAAACCATAAACTTTTTACACGTTTAACTAAAAAAAATGGGGGAAAGAAATGTTTTTCGGATTTATCTTGTGCTGCCTAAGCGTTTACAATCTTTGTTCAATGATAGAAGTAGAGAACGAATTTATATGCATAGTTGTGGAATTCTCAGCAAAATCGATTCTCAGAACCATAGTAATGGTGCCTTGCAACATAATATGGTTTAAGTTTATGGCTGAAACTTTAATAAATGGTTAAATTAATCCATGTTATCATTCTAGTTAAGCAGTAAAATTAATTAATATAGTTTAAGTACGAGGAAAAAAATCCTGGTAAGCACTGTACATTGTATAAAACATTGTATGATAATGACATTTCTGGCTGAAATTAATCATAATTTTGATTAATCAATCCCAAAATATACGGTATTGAAACCATTAATCTGCTCATATAGTAATACTTTACCGTAATTTTTAAAATTATAGTTTCTATTACCACACATTTAATAAAAAATATACAAAACTGAAAAGTAAATATAACCGAATAAATGGTCTTTACACCATGTTTTAAGGTACCATGATAAAAAGTCAAGTTTTACCACATTTACAGAAATTTATCATGTATTTAAATATATATCCTAAAGTGGTTTGATAAAGATCACTGAACTTTTTGGTGTTCACTTCCACATGGCGAGAAACAAGGCAAACTTTACGCCAAAAGGCCATACTTTTTTCTCTGTGTAAACTTTTAAATCTTTTTTTCTTTGTCAAAGGTAGATAACGGAATTTTATGTACAGTTCAGCTATTTCTGAGAAATCATTTCAACATAGAACTATAATAGCTTTAAACATATTGTGGTGCAAATTCAAGACTGCACTTTTAATAAGGGGTTAAATTAATATATGTTACTGTTTTATTTAAACTGTAGAATCATCTAACAAAGTTTAGGACGCAAATAACTTTTGCACCTTAAGAAAGTTGTAGCAAAATAGAACGGCATTATTATTTTACTCGTCCGAAAAGTTTTCAACAATCTGGTGACCATGTAGGTATCTAATATCTGCTCTAATTTGATTTCGCTGGAAAATACAAATTTGAAACATTTTATTGAGAAAATGAAAGAGCATAACACTTTGTTTTTTAATATAGTATAATAATTTTAATGATTGTATCGAAATTTTATTCGAGATTAATTAAGAATTTGCTTATAAAAATTAATTAAGAATTAGTATGAATGAATTTAAATTCCACATCACAAAGGTTTTTGAACGAAAAATTTAAAATAATTTTTGTTAACATCAATTACATGCTGAAATTACTAAAATTTTTTTGAATAGCTGAAAGCAAAGAAGAAGTCTGTAGTTTGCCGATTGAACATGGCGATTGCATTGTTTACTTGGAGAGATATGCCTATGATTCCGAAACTGGGAAATGTCGGGAGTTCACTTATGGTGGATGCAATGGAAACGGAAACAATTTCAGAACAAAAGAAGCGTGTGAAAAAGCTTGTGGTAGTATGATCTTTTAATAGAGTCTTAAGTTAGATGCATGAAGAAGAGTTTCTTAAATTTCCCTGTCCGAAAATACTATTTCTTTTTTTCAAATTTCGTAAAGATTTGTTCAAAAATTGTACGAATAATTGTTTAATTCCTGAAACTTATAACTGATAATGCTTCAACTTTTGTAGTATCTTACAAAAAAATTAAAATTACATTAAGTGGAGATGTATTGAAGAGCATATTTTAGAAATTAAAAGAAATATTGATAGCATTTATTTCTTCAGTTTTTTCAATATTGGCTGTTTTTTAAATTATACTAAGAAAGAATTTTTGTTTTATGTTGCATGAAACTTTTTAGCGAATCTTGGATATTTTTACGTCACTGATTTCAAATCTGCAATCTGTATGTTCCTCTAAGGTACAGTGGTACAGTTTTTTTAAGTAACATTTCTTTTGAAAGATGCAAATTTAAAAACGTTACATATAACAGGGATCACATCAATGTTGGAACAAATTTCTAAAGGAGTTAGGGCAAACCACCAAGATTAAAATTTCGTAGGAACTCAAACTCAGAAATGTTGTCCTACGCCGAGCGCTCACCCTATTATGAACGGTTTCTCCATGCTTTTCTAAACAGGTCGTAATAGGGAAACACTTCTAATGAATATCGCAATAAAGACATTTTGAGAATTTCAAAATTTCATCTCATTTGGAGTGATGCCTTTTTTTATTTACCTGTTTTAAGTTACGACATTTCTGCATAAGTATTTAACTTAACTCCCAATTTTACGACAAACGTTGTACCTTCATTTTCATTTGGTCGACTAATTAATCCTTTTTTAAATTTAGTAGAAATATTAGTATATCAGGCTTATTGTCTTAAGAATTTAATAATTGCATGCAGAAGTATTCCTCAAAAATTCTTAGTTTTTGGATGGGAAATTGCATTGGCAAATGTCGTCAAACATGACTAAGGGTACTTCTCCATCATGACCTGTTTAGTCACCATTATGACCTGTTATAATAGCGAATAGCCCCTAGTGTCGTAAAACGAGACTACCGGATAATGGTTCCTATGCAATTTTGTCGTAACACTTACTCAACCATTTGTTATATGTATAGCGTTTTACACTTAGGCATTTTGATCAAAAATTCACTAAAAATGTTAGTAAAAATGTAGCTCGGAGAGAGGAATCGATTGTATATTTGAAATCAGCAATATAAAAATATCGCAGATCTGTTTAAAAATCTCTTGCAACAAAAAACTAAAAAAGAAAAGTTCTCCAGTGTTATTTAATAATATGTTTAGATATTATTTTGAAGTATTTATTCTCTTTTCAGATACAAAGTGATAAACGAAACATCCAGAAAGCTAAAAGCTGCTTTTATTTTTATTATTACAAATGAAGTATTTTTGCTTACTCCTCAAAATAGTAATTTCTTAAAATTATACTTTCATTTTATGTTACAAAATAACAATGCTCCATTTGCTATTTGCATATGGTTGAGTTTTCATTTTGCAAGTATTATTGTATGATTATGTTATGTTCTTAAATAAAGAATATTCTGTTTGATATAAATATGTAACTAATTAAATACAATAAGGGTCTCCGAATAAATTAATCCTACATATGTGTTGATGCAAAAACTGATACGATAATTTACAATTTGGAAATTTGGGTTCTAGGATACGATAATTGACCATTTGGATTTTAGGTGAATTTGGATTGTATACAATTCACAAGAGCTATGCTTTTTTGCATTAATCATAAATTCGTTATTAGAATATTTATTGTTATATAGTAATAAAATATATTTATGACATTTAAAAAAGAAATTACTAAAGTGTTTGTGTTTCTATTTTAAACAATTTCCTAATCACGATATTTAACTTAGAAATTTTGTGCTTGTATTTCTGTGCTAGATTACTTCATTGTAAATTAGATAAAATAACTTGTGTGAAAAAGAAATTTGTAATTCTTTTTTAAAATACAACTACTAAATTATTGGAACAGTATTGATTAAATACTATCCTAATAAATCATATTCATATAAATCTTTCAGATTTGTTTTGATCGTACATTTAAATATAATTACACAATAAAATACTCACATATGACACATAAATTGTAATTATGCTTCAGTAGCTTTATTATCTCCCAAAAAATGCTTGTAATTATTTAAAAAAATATCTCGATTATTCAATAGTGAAACTGCAGAACAAAATTTAAGAATTTTCTTGAAAATCTTTTTACTGAAAAGCATTTTGTTTGAAAATTATCTAAATTAGTTGTAACTCTTTGCTAGATAATTTAATTTGAAATAAGGTGTACAATTTTGTTTGAAATGTTTTTGAATACTTTTTCTTAATTAATTATTAAATTAATTATTTAATATAATTAATTTCTAATAAATCATACTCATGTATATCTTTCAGATTTATTTTGTTCATAAATTTAAGCATAACAACGCTATAAAATACTTATATAAAGCGTATGAATATTAATTATGGTTCAGTTATGTTTTTATCTATCAAATTTTTTTTTATAAGAACTATCTAAAAAATGTCTCTTTCATACAGTCTCGAAATTGCAAAACAAAGTTAGACATTGTTTTTAAAAATATTAATTTGAAAAGCAATCTGTTTGAAAATTAATAATATAAAATTGACTAAATTGAGTAAGATAATAAAGAAAATAAAGTTAAATTTCAAAAGTAAGAAAAAGCTTTAGTAAATAGCAAACGTTATTTCCAAGAAATATGCTTATGTCTTATGAAACATTTGAAACAGAAATAAATTATCTGGGGAGCTAAAGAGTAGTGAAACATGAAAAAAAATGGAATATTGGATGAAAAATTCAATTTGAACAAAAAAGTAAGGTCCGGACGTAATTCACGTAATTTCTTCAAAAATGCATTTTAAAATAGGAAAAATGTTAACAGAAAACTTAAGCGATCTTCCACATAGACTGGAAAAACAGAAAAAAATGCATTTACATATAAATTAAAGTCAGAAACAAATGTAAACAAAATTTGGCTCCCGATTGTATTCGAAAGAATAAAAGTTTTTGAATAATGTTTATTTTTCCTGAAATAGACGCTTTTGGAATAAAAGCTTGTTTTATTAGTTTATAAATATTTAAATCATTGAAATAAATTTGGTGCAAACAAATGTAAATTACAGTGTATTCTCTGATCGAAAATATTTTATTTTCTCCATCCCACCTATTTTTTTTCACGTTTTAATGAGTGTTAAATTTTAGGAAGTTGAATTTAAAAACTATTTTAATTGGGATTGGAACTGCAGTTGCAAAGCCTGTAAAATCTACATAAAGAAAACTAGTTTTATAGACATTAAGAATGGCTGAACATTTAAAAACACATGAAATGATTTATTTTTTAATAATTATTTTACATGACCAAGTCTTAGTGGAATATTTTAAGTTTTGAAGCAATAAAAAGATATATTTTGAATGTATTTTTGAATTAGAAAATCTGACGTAAAACTGAAACAAAAGAAATGAGTTTAATATTTTTAAATTAATTTATAATCATAATAAAAATATATTCTGACGCCTCATATATTAAAATTTTTTTTAACTTGCCCTCAATTACTAAAAATTATATATATATATCTTATGGTGGATGCAATGGAAACGGAAACAATTTCAGAACAAAAGAAGCGTGTGAAAAAGCTTGTGGTAGTATGATCTTTTAATAGAGTCTTAAGTTAGATGCATGAAGAAGAGTTTCTTAAATTTCCCTGTCCGAAAATACTATTTCTTTTTTTCAAATTTCGTAAAGATTTGTTCAAAAATTGTACGAATAATTGTTTAATTCCTGAAACTTATAACTGATAATGCTTCAACTTTTGTAGTATCTTACAAAAAAATTNTATATATATATGGTGAGAAATATCATGATCTGCAGTTAGCCAGCAAGATACTTCTGCGCACTGCGCTTGTGAAAGATGCAGAAAATTGTTAACTATCGATTCTAAGATAATAATCAGGAACAGTTTTCTCAAAAAGCTTAATCAAACAAAAATGTGTGACTCATCAATATATTGATCGAATTCTTCCACTTAATTCAAGATGACTCAAGATCTAATGATCTAAATTCAAAGCGAACTATTTCAGTTTTTAGAACATACTTCATTAGTAAGAACACCTCTTTTTTGTAAATGTAGGGATAAAAAAGACCAAAAGGTTATATAGTATGTTCTTTAATATTTAATTATTATTATTTTACTGCTATGTCAGAAAAGCTTAAAGATCAATGTCACCATATCAATAACTCCAAAGTTATCATAGGCCAGGTGCAAGCTTAAATTCCGGACCAAAATGCGGTAAAGTACTAGAACTTTGGGTGCAGTATCTGCAAAATCCATTTTACCGCAAGATCTGTTAACCATAATATTATACCATAAATATACAATATTTCTGATACTTTTGACGGGAATTTGATCCGGAATTTTTCAAAAAATACTCATATATGAGTTGAAAAATTTTGCCTTCTGCTGAATGATAAATAGGCATACAGTACGACCAGAAAGTTTGCGAAGAAAATTTTAAAAAATCTCCAGTAATGAGCTAAAAAAATACTTCCTATAGAAATGAGTAAATAATATTTTATTAAAAAATATGTTAAAGAATATTAAGCTCTTTTACATTGAATCAAACCCCCCAAAAATTATATTAAATAGTTTCTTTAAAATCTAATTTCGCAGAAAGTATTTCCATTTAGTATGAAAGAGAAACAAGGAGAGAGACTTACTTATGAACATTAACAACCCTAAACAATTCATATTAAAGTTTTTGTTGCAGTTTCGCTTGTAAACATCATATTTTATTTAAAAATGAATTATGAAAATACTCTTTGGGAAAAAGTTATCCTCACGCATAAACAATTATTCAAATAAAATAGCGTGATATGTTTGAGTTTGAAATTAGGTTGCATACCTTTCATTTTATGAAACTGGTGATATATTTTCTTTTCTTTAATAAAATAAAAGTGGAGGCATAAAATGCATGTTATTAAGGCTTAAAATAATTTTGTATTTACACTGTAAGAAATTGAAGGTCATGATTATAATTGTATAAATTCATTAAATATTTTTAAAGAAAAATACTGTAAGAAGAAAAAATTATGTTGAAATTTTCTTACAGTATGGTAATGACATTTCTGAAACCCCACCCCCCAGAATTTTAGTCAATAAAATCATATATATGGTATTCTAACCATTAATTAATTTATTTTTTCGTTCCTATTGCAACTGTTTACTGGATGTTCTGGTTTTCAAAATTATAATTCTGATTACCACATATTTAGTGAAAATGTAAAAGAGAAGAGTAAATTTTATCCAAATAAATGACTTTTATGCAATGCTCTAAAAAGTCATAGTAAAATTACAAAATTTTACGACATTAACCAAAATTTAACGCATATTGTAGAACTTTATTTTAATGTTTATTTTACCAAAAATAGTACCGAAGCACTTCAGTAAAAATTATCGAGCTTTTGGTATTTCCATAGAGCAGGAAACACGAGAAATTTTACAATATGTCTGAAGTTTTGACCATACTTATTTTCTCAATGACGTTAACGTTTAACGTTAAACATAAAGTTTAACGTTAATTAATTTTTTGTCACAGAAATTCATAATTATTTTTATAGGCAACCATAATATTTGCTAACTTTAAAACGCTTTAAATGAAAACCAACTTCAGTAGTATTATATATTTTAGTTTTATAAATTTGTATAATTCATTATCTAGTTACAGTCAAACTAACAAATTGTGAAGCTTGTTTGACAAAAAATGTTTCAATTTATGTTAAAAGGACTTCATCAGAATTCTTTTACTAAGAGCATATCTAAAATTTAAAGATTAATTTATCTGCAAAATTTTCCAAGATTATTAGAAAAAAAGTATTCAACAATTCGTAGACATTTCATTCCTTCATAAAGACTTTAAATCCCTACTTTAATTCTATTTGTTTAAAGTTGAATTTGTGTAGATAAACAATAAAAGAAAGCAATGCAAAGTTCCATTAATTGCATAATTACAATAACAGATGTTGTTTTTTAAAACATTGCACAATTTTTATTCTTTGTGTGCAAGGCACTCATGTGGAATATTTTTATTTTCTTTGTACGGGAGATTCCAAGCACACTTGTAAAATGTCACTGCAGAAAATAATACTAAAAAATTAGAATTATCATTAAAATGTTATTCTTATTAAAATTATTGTTTAATAAGCATAACATGTTCTTTTAAGCATCAATTTCTTTAAATTTCTCTGTACTTGTAATTTAACCATAATGTGTTTCCTTAAAAAAATACTTCTTGTTCATTCTTATAGAAATACTATGCGTCTTATTTAAAGGGTGTGTAATATTACTTTTTGTTAATTTTTAGAGAAAAAATCCTCGCATGTTAAAACAAAACAAGTTTTCGAACTACTACAGTGATTAGAACATAATACATAATAATCACTACTTGACTATGTTTTAACAATCTTATTGATTGAAAAGTTGTCGTAAAATATCAGGAATCTAAAATTCTTATTTAGCCCATACATTTCCTACATTACTGTAGCCCCAGTCATATAAAAAATTTCATCATTTTGTTTTGAGTTTTAAGTTTATAGTATAACTTATAAATAAGGGTGAATCTTTATAGAATAATTATTAATTCTATTAATTAACTAAACATTTTACATTAAATGTTTTATTGAACTATACTAATAGTAGAAAAAATAATAAAGGTAAGAAAATACGATAAATATTTTAGGAAATGAAAGAAAGGTGTACATATTCCTAGTGCTTCTTGTGATCGAATTATAAATGCGAAATATAAAAGGGAGTTAATTTTAATGCATAACGTGTAAATAAAGATAAATCTTTACAGAATAACTATTAAAGCTTTCGATAAAAATCTATTATTTAATAAGTGATTTACTGAATTATTAAATTTATCCTGAAAATTGACTAAATGGAAAAAAAAAACAATTATTCTGAAAATATATTATTTTATAAACTGAATATTTGATCGTTCCCCAATTTTGCTTAAGAAGATTATGAATTCCATAATATTTCCATCACCCCATCTTATAATAAAGTGTAATTTGCGGTTGTTTATCAAACGCAGAAAATTGAAAATCAAGAGAACTAAAAGGGCTCTGGATATAAAGCGAGCTAATTTTAATGTATAACTTATAAATAAAAAGAAATCTTTACAGAAAAATTACACTGAGGAACAAATATTTGATTGCAGTTAAACTAATGCTTGATCTAGTCTAATTTGGGTGTGGGGATTGCGAATCTTAAAAATTTTTGCTACTGATTTTTTCAGAAATTTATATTTCTAGTCGAAACGTACAAGTTTAAAAACGTTACCTATAACAGGGGGACGTAAAAATGTTGCGAAGAATTTCTAAAGAAGTTTGGGAACATCATCGGGATTAAAATTGCTTAGTAACTTATGCCCGGTAATGTCATCCGCAGCTAGGGACTTTCCCGATTAGGAACTGTTCCATCATGTGTTTTTGAACAGGTCATAATAGGAAAGCGCTTCTAGCCGCGTACAACGATATTTTAAGGCATGGATTCCAATGAAGTTTTAATCTTGATGATGATCTTTAACTCTTTTCAAAGTTTGTCACTGTATTTATGTTACGGTCTGTTCTATATATCGTTTTTAACCCTGTAAATTTCGACAAAAAGTAGACTAAAAATGTAAATATGGACTGAAAAAACTACAGCTTGGAGAGAGAAATCGGTTGCAGACCTAAAATAACGATGTGAAAATATCCAATATCCGTTAAAGAATCTCTTGGAACAGAAAACAAAAAAAAAATTACATCAAATTGTTCCTCAGTGTTATAAGTATTATCCGACTAGTGAGTGAAAAAACATGATTTTGGGCAAAACTTTTGAAACTAAATTTATTATAAACTTAGTACTGTATTCTTAGCTTTCTGAAAATACCAAATTTTTGCTTGTACTACAGTTATTTACGAAGTTATAGGAGTTTTTGTACAAGGTGATTACGATGGATACACTGACGGTTTTAAGTCTTTAAATGCAAAATCAGATTTTTTTCCTTCCATATTACACCTCCTTAAGCACGATATCTCATGTTGTATTTAAAATAACTATGTACAGTTTTTCATGAGTGTGTATGATTATAACACATATATTTTGAACTACAGACCAAGAGAAGAAAGTAAAATTTCATTTTTAATACATGTCTTTATACAAAGACAAATAAGGAAATGTTTAAAAATTTGTTATCTTTACTACATTAATCCTTAACTCAGTATATCCACTTGCTTTCAAATATAGTTAATAGCCTTCTAAAACAATCCTTTGTGCTATCTTTACTACATTGAGCCATAACTCAGTATATGCACTTGCTTTCAAACATAGTTGATTTCAAACATACTTGCTTTCAAACAAGCCTTCTAAAAAAATCCTCAAAGGACTTATGGTTTTAGACAATAGAAATGTTTTTACTGTGTTTAGCGGATATGCAAAAAATGCCCTATTTTTACCTACTTTTACCTTAAATAATAGTACTAATAGTTTTACTAGTTTTATAAGTTTTTATGCATGATAAAATAAATAAACTAGTTTTTTAAAATTTTATATTAATTTTGAAAAAATTATCCACACTAGTCGAATACCTTACTCCATAATTTCAATATAATTTCAACAAAAAATAATTAAAAAAAAAATAATTCAATATAATTTCAATAAAAAATTAAGATTTTATTGACCAAATAAATTAATCTAGGACAAATATTAAACGGAAACAACATTTCAATTATCATAAAATAAAAATATTTATTAAAATAAGTTTCCTTTTTGTATTAAGCCTATGAAATTCCCGTTTGGCACGTCACAGCATGCGATAATCAAGCGGCTGAAAATAAATAGAACTACAAGTACACGCTCTGAGTTTTAAGTTTCTTTGTCAAGATATACTGTGGCTCCATCTACAGGGCCAGGCCAAATTCATGTCTTTGGCCGGATAGGAGGTCCTTCCATACCGCATCCGGCAATTGGTACGGGAGGATGCGAAAAGATATGTGAGGAAAAAACAACTTTCGTAGTAATTGATTCTTCTTCTAAAGGTAATTTTACTACTTCTTCTTTTGGAGTATTTATTGCTTTACGATTCATCAAACTAATTGAGAGTTCACCTTTTTGTTTTCGCTTTTTTTAGAAATTTGTTTTAAATAAAACGATAAAATTAATTTTTATTACAAAGTTTTAAAAATTGTAACGCATTGTAATATTAATATAATTTTATGTGGAATTTGGCGTGTTTTAAACAAAATTTCGATAAAAAGATTTTTCCTTATTTTTATTGGTACTTTTTTTAATAAAAGATATTCTTTTTGGAAACGATGAAATTAATTTTTGCTGCAAAGTTTTTAAAAATTGTAACTCATTGTAATATTAGTATAATTTTAATTGGAATTTGGAGTGTTTTAAACAAAATTTCGATAAAAAGAATTTTCCTTATTTCTATTGGTACTTTTTTTTAATAAAAGATATTCTTTTTGGAAATATGTTTGAATATCAAAGCTTATGAATAGGTACAGAAATAAATGAAATATTTTTTAAGATATTAGGAATATTTTTTGTAAAAATATGCCTGAAAAATTATTACAAATACAACTTTATTTACATAAAATAAAATTTTTCGTTTAGATTTTAATAAATATAAATATTAAAAACGTGTGAACCATATTTTTCTATTTAAAATACCTTTTTTATTATTTGAAATACTTTTTATAAATTATGTAACTTTAATACAAAAATTATTAGAGGGTTGTTCCTGTTCTAAAAAATTACATATAAAATATAAATGACAGTTATAAATACGATTGAAACAATAAGACGCGTTTCTAATTAAATCTCTCGTTTAACTTATATCACCATTAATAATTCCTCCGACAATTATTTTATAGGAAATGGCCATGATTTGAAATGAATTAGTTTCTTATTTCGGAAGAATGCATTTTATTTCTTACGATAAGTTCCATTACGATAAGTTTTCACTAGCATTTAGTAATAGATGAAACTAAATTATTTCTAATAAATAATTTTAATATTGTTTTATATTGTGATAGATAAAATATCTGAAAAAAATGGCATAAATTCTTTATAGAACTTGATACATTCTATATTCTTTATACATTCTTTATTTAAGTTTTATCCATAATTATAAGTTGAAGGTTTTAATTTTTATGATTTCATGCACAGTCAGAGAGTACAAAAAGAGTGCTGACGGTGCATGTTTAAATCAAAATGAGACAGTTTATATTCGAATTTATATTATGAATAGCTGGTCCAACCTCATCAATGTATACAAGTTGATAATTAAGTTTTGTTTATATTTATAGTTAAATGATAAAGTGATTTAATAGTTAATTTCTAAATAACGAATAGATAATATGACAGTTTATATTTGAAACTGTCTGATTTTAGGGGAATCCAAATAATGCTGCGAATGAGGGTAAAAATCATTACAGAGAAATGTTTTGTTTCCTAATATATATTTTTTCTTTTATTCAAGAAATCGATAAATTGTAGTCATATTCACTAATTGTGTATGCAAATGTTTTGGAATTGAACATTTTAAAACCAAAACACACGAAATCAGAAAAATATTGAAACTAATAATTTTTTAATGGCTAGTTACATTCATATGATTTCATTTCATTTGTATTTATATATGAAAGAAAATTTATACGCAAAGATTCAAATTGAGACTTGTTTGAATTATGCGAAAATGTTCTTTTCCTGAAAAATTGTCATATGAAACACTGAGAAGAGTATTTTCAAAAAGACTATACAACGACAGTTATTACTATTTAATACAAACCTTTAGATTTTAAGTAATTGTATATTGTTTTCGCTTTAAATTTAAAATAGTATAAGTGGCTTAATACTTGTATTAAGCCGCTTATACAAGTAATACAAATAATGCGAAGTTATATCTTTATTACTAATATTAGCTGCTTTTTTCGCGAAATGTAAGAAACATTCACTTGTGACAAACAAATGTCAATAAAATACATTTAAAATAAAATGTTTTTCTGTTTTTATTTTTGTGAAAATAAACCTTTAAAAGTTCTTTGATGTAAAAAAAAAAAGGAAAGGAAATCAAATAGTCAAAGTTATAAATTAACAAATACTTTTTATTTTCACATTGAAGTAATTTTTAGCTTATGCTATTTTAAAATGTAAAAATTATTGGTTGCTATTACTCAATTAATTCATTTAAAACGATAATTTAAAGCTTATTCAGAATCATTAGAATATTTTCAATCAGAACGTTAAATATAAGTAATTACTTTTGATCTTTCTTAATCCTCCAAGAAACGTTCAAAGTTACCGTTGAGAAATATTTTTTTGAAGCGTTGTAATATTGCTTTCACTTATAAACTATAAGCATATTTAAAAATGTTAATGTCTCATTAGTGCTTAAGCTTATGTTAGTTTGGGAAAGATGATCTCTAGTCTAATAATATCATTAAATAATGAGCCCAGTACTTTATTATTTTCCGTTTCTGTTGTAACCATTTGTTTCGTTTTATTAATGTAATGTTATGTATCGGAGTTTTTTTTAAAAATTTTTTATATGAAATAAATGTTTTGGTTGGTTCTAATTAGTTTCTAATACGCAGGTGGAGGATTTTAAAGATTGTTTACAATAAAGTTTCAAATCACAATTTTTATGAAGCGTACGTTGTTTTCTGATATTTGCAATAATGAATAATTCTTGTTTTAAAGTAAGCAAAAAAAGAGAAAGAGAAAGGAAATTAATAAATTAAAAGCCTTTTATTTCATGCGAATCCCCGAATTTAATCAGTGATTGAATCTAAGATGGAATAATGGTGATGAAAAATGCATTCTAGTCTTATTGACCAAGAATTGGAAAACGGTAGAAGGAGTAAGACATGTTTGGAAAAAGATCCTAGAGAAGGTTAGGGCCCACGCTGGGTATTTGAGCCATTAAAGAAGGGATGACATTTTTAAATAAGCAAAATATATTTATGAACTCTTAATTTGCAGTACGACAGAATTACAAATGATATATTTGTATTTTTATTGTAGTTGTACAAATGATACGAAGAAGGTTTGAATAATCAACTATTTTAAAAATAAGTAAAGACTTTGCTTAAATCTTAAGAAAAAAAATAAAAATACAAATCACCAAAAGGATGATTCTGTTCAGGTGACAGAGAAATGATAAAGACTAATATTTTAATTAATTAACATTAAAAGTTAAAAAAATAACGGTAATATATTTCTCTTAAAAAATTATATTTCAAAATTAAATAAAAAAGCACACAATAAACACATTACATTACTGTATAAAGATAAACAAATATACTAATGCGTATAATTTTAGAAAGGAATCGGGGAAAAAGGAACTTAAAAATTTAAATGAAGCATTTATTTATTGTATATATCCAAATAGTTTATTTCAACATTAAAATTTTTTTCTATAATGTATATTAACGCAATTTAATAGTAATTTTTACGCGACATCTGATTTCACGACGCTTCTCGAATCTCAAGATCACCTCGAGACACTGCAAACAAAATTACAATACTTACTATAATAATTTTTTGTGTGTCTTTTAATAGCAAATCTGAAAGAAAATAAGCAAAAAACTAAATTCAAATGGTAAAAAAACGCTTCATATTATAATGGAATATTATACACTGTTAGAAATTTCTCGGAAGAAAATCGTTATATAACAATTTATTTAACTGTTATTTTACCATATTCAAACAAAGCAATCAAGGAATCATAAATAAGATGGTATTCAAACTGTTAACTGTGAGAAAAATAGTTTATTAACTGCTTTCACCTAATACGGTTAAACAACCGGAATTTTATCGCACCAGCTTGACTCACGTAATGAAACCACTTAGTTCCCTGTAAATGGGTACATATTATGGCCGAGAGGGCTAAGATGTCAATCTCGTGATAGCTTGCACTTCGCAATTTGTGACCCTGGGCTGTTAGAATACGATACGCAAAAAGAAAGCAGCACCATAAAGCTACTAAACTATTTCCTGTGTCCAATAAAAATTCTGTTTTTACAGTTTTGAAACCATATTGTAAATTGCAAATGATTAAAAAAAAACCATAAATACGAAACTATACAGTTTTTAACCATACTAGTAGTAAACGGTTTCAAAATCGCTAAGTTAATGCTGTTTACCGTAAACTTTATGGTTAATTGGATGGACTGACAGCTGCCGGCTATTGTACCATAATTTTAGAATGAAAATTCTAACTGTGTATTTTAAAAAAAAAATCACGAAACAACTTTTAATACCATACAGAAGTTATGATACACGTGAGTTTCTTAAATATAAATGAAACAGTTAGTTAGGAAATATTAATATTAAATTAAAAAAAAGTAACTCATAAAATATAAAATGTCTCAATTATCAATTACCCGAATTAAAAATTTAATTAAAATTAAAATTGATTGTTTGATTTTTGATTGAAATTGAAATTTTGAGTTATATTTCGAGGAAATCCACAAAAAACTCCTACGATTAGCCTGATGGTAAGGAAATTTTAAAACCGTGACCCTTTTTTCTCTGAGGATACTTTAAATCAGCTCTGTGATTGATGCGAGCTGGGTGCAGAATTCATATCAACCAGCCATCGCTGGGGTTCGAATCCGGGTCAGCTTATTGGGTGACGAGCGTTCTAAGCTGCTAGTCACTATGGATTACTATGATTGGTGTGGGCAGGCAGCAGAATTTGCTTAACTAGTTAACGCCGAGATTCGAACCTGAGTCATATCAGTGAGAAGCGAGCACTCTGTCCCTTGAACTACGCAGCTTTAGCTTTTGATTATGAATAAAACTCCTGGAACTGTCCTCATTTTAAGTCTTACTTATACTTATATGAGTATATGTATATATAGTCTTACTTATATAATTTTAAGTCTTACTTACTTATTTAAGTGTAAAAACTATGGAGGAATCCTTAAAAAAATATCTGTCAATATTAATTACTAAAATTATATCTAAAGTCAGATAATAACAAAAAAGATAGAATATTGATTCCACAATTAAGTCGAATCACTAT